AGTAGATACAGTAAAGGATCATGAGAACGTTTCATATGTTTATACAAGTTATAGTTTGTGTTGTATAAATCAGCAGGTTAAAGAAATTTGTTTTGTCACACACTAAATTTGCAAATAAAATAAAGAGTAAGAGTTCATAACAATACGACAGCAATCATATGACACATAGAACCAATGAAAATTAGAGGTTAACATACGGTTTTCAAGACTATGAAGTGGTATATATAAGTTGTTTATGAGTGTAAATCTCATATGTAAGTATCGGTAAAGTGGTCACACTTCAAGTCAAGAGTGACTTATCATATGAATGGACTAAGTGTTGTGATTGATAAGATGATACCGTGAAATAATGGCTATTGTCAATTCAAGAATGATTATATTTGCTACGTTTATATAATATCTATAGGTTATTTAGACTCATTATTGTATCTAAGTGTTTTTTATATGATGTTAGTGTCGTGCTTTTTTATATTTTCTAATATAACATCTGCAGGCACACATATGTGCAATACTCAATATAGTGACTATTGAAATAGATGATAGTCTTTACTATACTACATAATATATAACTCTTTTTGAGGAAATATTTGTTTTATAACACTTGAAACTTTTAGCGGTTGTAATTAAAACAATTATTTCAAAGGAAATGGTTCAATGTGCTTCGATTAGAATTAATAATAGTTATTAAGTACTGACTCAAATAGGAATTTTTGCATATTTGATTTTCCCATAGTTAATGTGTGTTGCTTTTACAATGCCTGTAATTATATTTACATTTTCTATTATTGTATCTTCAGGATATGCACAATTTGTTACTGAAGGTAAGTTCATTTGGCAAAACACACCTTTTAAAAGATATAAAGGTATAAGTCAGCATGTATGACAAATAAATTTGGGAGACTAAATTACAGACTGTTACAAGTATAAAAATTTCTGAATTTGTCTTTGAATTTGTCTTATATATTCAAATAATAATCTTTTTCCAGGGAATTCGAAACAGAACCTTTGTACAATTAAATTTGTTAAAAAAATCAGATTTCTACATTCATTCATCACATTGAATGAAAATATATTTGAACGAATCAAATTGAAACCGACTATACCTATAATTATAACATGTACACAAAAGGTAACACGGGAAAAACAACAACCAAAAAGAAGAGAACACGAGAAACAGACAGTAAATATACCAAGATAAAAAGAACGAACAATCAAACAACAGTTCCCAAAACAATACACAGACAAATAGCATCACAAAACCTTCCTCAAACCAATGGTGAATTTCTCCATATTGAAGCAAAAGTGCATTTTCATGAATGGTTCTTAAATAAATTTAACTAGCATGCAATTGCAGCTCCAAGGTTGTAAGTCCCCGGGGAGGGGAATAACAAGCTCAGTTTCTGTGCATAGGTTTTATATCATACCTTTCCCTCAATTCTCCGATAATAAATTTATAAATCATTAAACAATACATGTATGGTTCCATCTCCGAAAAAAAGATGACCGTATACGGATTTGCCTATTCATTTTGCTATTTTCTTTTAATTATACATAGCGTCAAACGATAAAAAAAAAAATTAAACATCATTGACTTGACTAATTGAGAAGAGCCTTTTTGTTGGCCGATTGCTTAAAGTGTAATTTTGCAATAATTGTTCACTGAAATATTTTTCTATCATTAAAATACTACACCAATTTCTATCAACATCTTTTTTTGTTGAGTTAAATGGACTGATATTTCAACACTGAGTCGATATTTTGATAACGGCGTAGTGTGTACATCGAGCTTACGAATACTAGCAAATCTTGATATGCTACTCGACATTGACACTGATGGATAACTGCAAATACTAATTTCTATTCTTAACTTAATTTGCGACCACAAAATCACGAATTGATACCATCGGAGCTTCAATTGTCAACTTCACATTTTTTAGATTTTTAGATATCATTTGTTCAATCTGTAAATTCACTAACTGTGCCCTATTCCGATTGTGACTCTTGACTGAAAATGGGTTTGGTTTTCGGATGATGCAGGACATCATAAAAGGAATATCCTGTAAACACGTGCATTCTCGCTCCTTTTGTAGTTCAAACGATTTCATCAGTCTTTGTTGAACAATGCAAAATGAACAGCGGTTAATCCAAAAACAATAGACACAAAGAATTTATCATACCATGTAAAGTAATAGAAAGGGACTTTTTGCAAATTTTAAATGATACATTGTCTGTACAAATAGTGAACTATATAAATTGCAATAACAAACAAAGTGGTCAGCACTGCTATGTCTGACCCGATTCCATAGCCAGTGTTATGATAATGTTGTGTATTGTTTCATTGAAGTTTTTGTCTAAGGTTGATATGAGAAATAATGTTACAAAAAAAGTAGACGTTTCCCATACCCCTAATGATAAAGATATAACCTACAGCAAAAGTGTTTAACATTCAGAACGTTGTTACTTTCAGAAAATAATCGTAAAGATCAAGTTTACTGTCGTATCGGAGAGGAAACAATACTGTATTGTCCTAGGAGTGCAGACGATTCTTCAGTGACGTGGCTGGGACCACCTAAGCTTATTCCATATACTGATGGTAAACAAATAAACAATGCTCTAAGGAAAAGTGATCGATTGGAAATAACGGGAAATCATTCAGAGGGAGAATTTAATTTACAAATTGTTAATATTACAATTGAAGACGAAGGGCTATACAGGTGTAGTGTTATTGTGAATGGATCTCCTCGTGAATATGATACAGAATTAAAAATAGAAAGTAAGATATAGTATAAATGTTTAGCCTGCTTTGTTTCTATCAACCTCTGACAAATGTGCTATAACGCAAGGGAAATGACCTAGTTTGTAAATTTACAGAATCCACAAGTTTATCATTTCTGTTGCGTAACTTAATATCGGCAAAAATTAGAATTGAGTCAGTGAAAAACATTATTTTAGGTATGTTAGAATACTCATGTAAAGTCATATTATATCGTTTTAAAATCTTTTTTTTACAACAGTGTGAACATTTAAAAAAAAGACCATAATTGATTGACAGCAAGAAAAAGCATGCATTTTCATTATTATTTTTTTTTTTTATAAAATCCTTTTTTTTTTCAGGGTTGCCAACAGATCTGACTATAACCAATATGACAAACACACATCAAATATTTAGTATTGAACACACTGAGTTAATTTTAACTTGTTCAGTCAGAAGGGGAAATCCTGTTGAAATTTTACAATGGACGCGGAACGGCATCCACATTCAGAACCAAAATTTGTCTCTATCAATCTCAAAAGATAACATTTCTGAAATAGTAATCTTCCAGTATTCATTTGTACCCTCCAGGGAGGACCAGAAAGATAACTTCACATGCTCCGCAGAAAGTTCAATTACAGAAGAACCACTCTCGAAGACAGTGTACCTCAATGTTTACTGTATGTAAATGTATAAATAGATGTGTCGTATCATAGGAAAACAAAATGCAACCTTATATATTCATTTTTAATCAAGGATATGAAGTCATGAAATTTTTTTTTAACAGTTCAATACCTATCACATTTAGTAAGAATGCTTACTGATTATTGATCATTATTATCAAAGGAAAATAGAAATAGGTTATAGATAATGCATATTTAAAGGTCTTTCTTATGGTATAGCACCCCGAGGTGTGTTATACGACAAGAAAAACCTTAACATATGCTTAATCTGACTTATATACCGTAAAGAAATATTATTTTCTGCAAAGATTTGCAAGATTTCCATCATATTTTACCGACCACACTAAAGTGGGATATTTTTTTCTGATCCGTACTGGTTTTAATACGCCCTACGGCTCATTTGAAACGTGAAATAAAACTCACATATTAATATAGATATAAGCTTTATCATTCATTATCCAGTTACAAAAGAAATATCACTAAATGCATGAAGCAAGACACAAATGAATTGTTACGATGTATGAAAAATACAAGTCACTTTGTAAGTAATTTATTTTCAACTTATTTTAAGAAAGGGGGATGCTATGCTTTTTCTATTTTTCGTGACATTTTCATTGCGGAAAAGCAGATTATTTTTCAACAGATATTAACGAGCTGTTCAGAATTATTGTTTTCACTTTTGAATGACATTTTTTTAAACAGAGAACTTAGTCAGAATTAAATATCATACCCCCCCCCCCCCCATAACCCTATCATAAAGCACGTGGCTGTTATTCTATAGAAATTAAAATATTTCGTCATTTGATCATTTGATAGAGTAAATGTATAGGTACTTATAGATGTAATATATTCAGAAGTGACACGAATAGAGCACGAAATACTGATACATGTACATATAACACGAAAAACGAATATCCATAGGTCAATGTATGATCTCCAATACAGTGTGACTCAATACGATTTTCAAAATCCAACACATGAATTTGTTAAATCTGGTTTGTTTTATTAGTGTTATGAAGGGTTTTTTTTTTGTAATTCAGTTAAAAACAGATGACAGGGTTGTTTATGTCTTTTTCCATAGCACGCGATACTATCAAACGAATTAAATCTTTAAGTAAATTAAAGTTTGCATTTTAATCAAGGAAAACAATGACCTTACTGGTCATTATTTTCTGCCTTGAAGCAAATTTCATTGAAACTTGGTATCGTCCGGGTTGATTCTTCAAAAGAAAGACCTGACGTTCTAAAAGAAAATAACTTCACATAGGTATATGAAAAGTAAGATAAAATAGATGTTAAGATTGCTTTGCTTCTTTATACATGTTAAACCTCTGACAAACGTATCCATATTGAAAAAGAAAATGATGTGTTCTACTTTGATAAGTCAAGTCAATCACATTAATGCATGTTATACAATGAACTTGGCAGGGGAAAGGTGTAAACGTACCATTTTCACGTGGTATAATAGTTATTATATTACTTACTGCGCAATTCTCGCGAAACAAATCAGGATGTTTATCGGGTCATTCCTTGGTATATCAGAGTTGTAAATAACGAACCTTTCTTGTAGCAGTTATGTAAAAGTTTGTTAAAATAGTTAACTTATTATAAACCATTTTGTTAAATCGACTTTTCACTTTCACATGTTTCAGTTAAAACGCATTTTTGTATTCAGTTTTTAACACGATGTCGACGAAAGTACAAATTCGTCAAGCATTTATTTTACCTTTTCATCATTTCTAATTGATATTAGTATTCTTTCTTTTTTTGGCAGATACGCCTGCTGTTATAGCTGAAGTGTATCCTTCTAATGAGGTGAGAGAAGGTTCGGATATCTCATTGCAATGTAAGGCAGATGCAAATCCTGAAGTTAAGAGATACACATGGCAAAAGCATGAACGAATGCTTGCGAATGTTTCTGTTTACAATATTACAAAGATAGATCGATCACAAGCTGGGGAATACACATGTTCTGGATATAATGAAATTGGTGACAGTTCATTCAATGTCAACATCTCAGTACTTTGTAAGTATAATAACCTTACTTATCTTACAATCGCTTATATTTTAATAATAAAAATCGTGGTTACCCTTCTATCTATAAGTGTCATGCCAAAAAATGACTCACATGTCCCCGTCTTTTCACCAACAATACGGTAAGGTCCACGTTTAATGGTCGCATTTTCATTTGATTTTGAAAAAACAAACAGTATTATATATTTACTCACATAATACAAACTGGGATGCGGTATTCCGTACGTAGGTGAAAGTGGACGATATTTATCTAAACGCACGCGAGAACACCTTTATCGTTTTGAAAGACCCCATAAATTCCAAAGTATCATTTGTCAACACATTAAGAAGCACAATCATCCTGTTAATATTTAATAGTTCAATTTTTAGAAGTTATTAATAAGCAGCCTGTGGAATCTTTTTCAAAGTTTGAAACGATCATGGAAAATATTTGAATTAAATTGGATTAGAAAATTACGGAAAGTCTATCCTCTCGGTCCTAATGATAATATCATGGGGATTGGTAGTATATCAAGAACTGATTATGTTAATATTTTGGATATAGTTTCTAAAACAGTTCGTAAAAACCGTTCTCATGGCCGTAGAATAAGTCGTAATCAAAGAAAATTTCGTACCAACAATACACATATTTCGGACCAAATTCCTATTTCAAATCGTCCAAATTATTATGGCATATTGTTATTCTGAACTGTTTCCCAAAATTGATCGCCCTGAAGATCACAGAAAAAAAATTTTTTTTTATTAAAATTCAATATGTCAATAAAGGTTTTGATTTTGTAAAACAATTCACACACCTCATTATATTGGCATTTAAAAAGTCAGAATGCGAATATATATGTTCAAACTCTTTTATGTCATTTTTAGTAATAACAAACAAAAGAACTTTGTCAATTGGACTTGCTTTGATACTATAACTACGCTTGAATATTTACAAGATAACATTTTTGTTTACTATGGATATTCCGTATATCGTCAAGATATCGGAATTCCCATGGGGACTAACTGTGCACCACTTATTGCGGACCTGTTTCTGTATTGTTATGAGTTACAGTTTATGACTAGAATCAGCACAGACCCATCGAAACAACATCTGATTACAAAATTTAAAACACTTTTAGATATTTGGATGATATATTGGCTCTTAAAATCGACGACTTCAGTATTACACTAAAGAGATTTATCATGCCGAATTGACTTTAAATAAAGCTAATGACAACAATTAACACTGCCCTTTCCTGGAGCTTGATATGATATCTATATCTTCAACAGGAAGCTTAATACCAAAATTCACGATAAAAGAAATTATTTTTCATTTCCTATTGTTAATTATCCATTTTAGAAGGTAACATTCTCTTGTCACCATCTTATGGTGTTTATGTATCTCAAATTGTTCGATTCGCTCGTGTATGTAACAACGTTTTTGATTTTAACGAAAGAAATCTCTGTACTACTTAAAGATTATTACACCAGGTTTTTCGATATCACAAACTAGTCAAAACATTTACTAAATTTTATCATCGATACATGGACATCATTCGTAAGTATAAATCAACACGCAGACATCATATACGTTCAGGTATTTCACATCAAATCTTTTATGGGTAATATCCTTTTACAAAGCACAAAAATGTCGGTATTCACTTCAAAATCAAACCAAACCTTTAAAAGACTTATAAAAAGGGATAAAGTTACAATACTTTTGTCAGGTCATTAAGAACGGCATATTTTGGTATTAATATTGATTCACTCATAGGGTCTTTGCATCGGAAATAAACACATTAATTCTCGAACCAGTTGATGGCATGATACGGGTTATTTTCTACTGATATGTTTTTTAATGGTATAATACTTAACCCCTAACGGGAGGGATTGTAATTGATTTTCATATGATGAAGACATAACCTTTCAATCAGTTTAATTGAGGTCTGGAGCTCGCGTGTCAGTAACTGCTAGTATTTGCTGTGTTTCTTTATTCTACATTGACTAGAGGTATAGGAGGAGAGTTGAATTCTCACAAAACTTGTTTAACCCCGCCACATTTTCCCAAGTGAGGCCTTTGTTAGTCTTGTATTTTTTTAATTTTAGTTCAGTTATTTGTTTTTTAGTTAAGTTGACGTCATTTTCACTGAACTATAGTGGCTTACAAGATTTTGTGAGATATACGGAATTTATCTTAAAACGATCGTATTGACTTTTGATGTCAAAAAAATGGCAGATCGGACATATTTAATGGCTACTTTAGTTTGGGATTAATTGTAATTAATATATTCCAATGAGACTGAAAAATGCTTTTCTTTGTTAAGATAAAAAATAAATTTAACTGGTGTAGCAGTGCGTAAAATGCATTTCGGCATTTCTCTTCGAAAAATGACTTGTTTAATGAAATAAAATGCAATTTGTCTCTTTTTTCTCCGCAATAGTCTTTAAAAAATAATTGATCTATTGTGTATTCGGAAATTTTGTGAAAATAGAAAAAGTTGCAATTCTTACCTTTCATACTTTTACATTCATTGATAAAATATTATATGGACTCGTCCAGGGTTCCAGCTTGAAGGTAATTTAAGTTACTGTACACATTCGTGCAACTTCTGATGTAAAAATAGTCATGTCTGAAAAGCATAAACCGTTTGAAGGTAAACTTTTAATAACTTAATCCAATCAAATTGTGTAAGGTTCAATAACAATGACCTGTCCACATCATAACAAGTAATAGAGGTAAACTGGGTAGGGAGAAGATGTCAGATATCTTAAATTTATTATTTTACAATAACGAATAAAAAATTGTCAACCAAACGTTTTGCAATAATTTCATAAACATGTCTTCTGTTTTTGTATAGTTTTTTTATCTTTCAGTTGCGTATTTAAGGCAAATGAAAGTTTGGGCTTCTAAAGTCTACATAATTATTGACTTAATACAGAAATTTCGCCCATTTAAAACATCAAATGTTTCACAAATAAAACGTGACTACAAAGTAAACAATTTCTTGAAACACTGCAAACAATTTCATTATGATTGGTATGGGGATATTGTTATAAAGTGTGTTGAAATGAACAGTGGTATAGCAAACATCGAATTCCCTCACAAAATGTTAGTTTAAACATATTTATTTGTTTAAACTAACATTTCACACTATAGTATACATTTTTATTTAGGGGCCAACTGAGGCGGGTGTGGTGTTTTATCGCTGCGTTTGGGGCCTTTGGTTTTTGGTCGAACCAGTTGATGGCATGATACGGGTTATTTTTTACTCATATGTTTTATAATGGTATGATACTTAACCCCTAACGGGAGGGATTGTGCTTGATTTGCATATGATGAAGACATAACCTTTCAATCAGTTTAATTGAGGTCTGGAGCTCGCGTGTCAGTAACTGCTAGTAGTGCGTTTGGGGCCTTTGGTTGTTACAATGTACCTGCTCATTGGTTGGGTTGTTATCTGGTTGACATATTCCCCATTTCCATTCTCAATTTTACATATTGTTCCTATGTTCCTGATGAAACACAATACTTCGACTGAAAAAACACTTTACACTTATTCAAGTATAATAGGAATTACAGTTCCTGCCGGAGTTGCGTCAAAAGACATCAATTCTTTTAAAACATCTCGTTGCCATTTTGTAGATTGTGAAATGACAGGATGAAAGCCATCACCGGTTTGTGTTGTAACCATGTGTTACACGGCGGTTGTCCAATGTGCTGCTGTATCTCCTTATCATTCCGAGTAACCTGAAATCCCCCAGGTTTATGCTGCAGTTTATGTTGTCATTTTGTTAGTGTGTTGTGACCTTGGTTGTTTGTTCGTCTTTCGTTTTTTAGGAATATATTGTCACTATTTCTCTCGACTTTCTCTGTGATATGCTACGATTAGTAATACTCATGTTAAAAGGCTGTAATTGTAAATGTGTGCAGCGGATATAGTGTGTATGTGAATGTATAATTCAATGATTTTTTTCAACTTCAAAGGTGTTATGCTACCTTTCATAACAGTGCAACAGCTCTTTGTTAAGAGAAATTAGTTTCTGATTCTTTTCCTGATAAAAAAAAATAGCAATTCATTTCATATGACGCGAATTTATTTTACCAGAAACAGAAACAAAGTTATTTTGAAAATTCTTACACTGTGGGTGATATGACAAAGAGTCTAACCACTTACAAATTCGAAGGAAGCATGCGTAGTATAGGACAAATTGTATTTGTAAAATTATAAAGAAAATACTTCGATTTGAACAAGAAAAGCACTAATCTTGATTTCTCAAGCAAATGGATTATGTATCTACAATGTATTTAGTAGGTTTGGAGGACATTTACATGACATTCCCATAGTACTGAACTGAGTTCTTTGCTCCCCGACTTGCTCCTACATAAAATCATTTAAGAAGAACATGCATATGAATATATACCTTTCATTTGCCTTATTTATGTCGATTTTATTCTACTGTCTACAAGAAAGCTTTGGCATCTAAGGTTTAATATGGGTTGCCAATTAGAGTTTACTAATATACAATTTTCCAGTCTTGAAAGGTATTAGGCAGTAACACTAAAATTCCATAGATAAAAAATTAACGCAGAGTTTAATTTTCGAAACATTTTGTATTATGCAGTTGTGTATTCATCAATACAGTAAGGGATCTTTATATAAAGAAAATTTCATAATGCAAAACTTTTTAAAACACTTTTAAAACAAGCCAGAGTTACAGATTTATGTGTCGGATCATTAAAGAAAAAGTATAAAATCTTGTTTATTCACACTGGATAGGAAACCGTATTATGACCTTTGAGTGTCCGTATAATCGTGTTACATGTTCATTACAAATTTGTGGCTCTTCGTGCTATTTGGTTATTTTTACTTTCATACATAGTTTTTCCTTTTGATCTATCAAATTACCAAATAATCTCATTTTCTAAAGGTGAATTTTCATCCTGATTCTCAATTTTCATACAATTGAGGGGTTCAGCTAGCTATAAAACCAGGTTTTATCCATCATTTTCTAAATGAGAAAATGCCTGTACCAAGTCAGGAATATGACACTAGTTATCCATTTGTTTGATGTGTTTGAGCTTTTGATTTTGCCATTAAATTAGGGACTTTCCGTTTTTAATTTTACTCGGAGTTCGGTATTTTTGTGATTTTACTTTTTTTTCTATCGCATGACTGTAGGGTAAACAATTGTTCAAAATAATTCGTAAACAAGTCATTACTGTGGATTCATTTATTTTCGTGGGAACCAATTTTTGTTGACTCAGAAAATTTTGTACTTTCGTGGATATCTAATTTTGTGGTTTTGCCAAAGTCTGCATACAACTCAATGAAAACATTTGTTATTTGTAGAAAATTTAAATTCGTGGTTCATCTGTACCCACGAAATCCACGAAAATTGATATTCAACAAAAATAATGAATCCTCAGTATCTGAATTTCTGTGGTAAAAAAATCATGTTCAAGAGAAAAACATATTACTTCCTTTTATAAAGTTAATATACTAAGTAACTTATCAATTTATATAATGATTGTTAGCGTTTATATGAAAATTAATGAGTAGTATTCCACCTTATACATGTTATAATTGTGCCGTTGGGCGTTGTCATATCTGATTGCAATAGAAAAGAATATCCCAATTTGATTTGATCTATAAAAGTGATACAATTTTAAACAAACCTATATAAAAAAATTATACTTTTAGACGTTACATAAGTCAGATACTGCATATTGTCGCATAACACACATTTGGATGATATACGACGAAAGCAACTCTAGAAATGCAGAATATGCCTTATCTATAACAATAACTTTCATATTTGTGTTCGTATTTTGTAGATGCACCAGATATAAATGTGACTCTTGTATTTTCTGAAGAAAAGTTCAAACTTGTATGCTCTCCAAATGGAAATCCAAGTAGGTATCGATTTGATAAATGGCAACACATGTCATTTTTTGGTCAACACATCCGTTACATCAATGGTTCAACTAATGGAGAATTGGTATTTCCATTAAATTTCAGCGATCAAGACAGGGGGATTTATAAATGCAAAGCTGAAAATGGTATTCTAAACGCAGATGGACATTTATATCAACATGGTTCTAATTCTTTTGATTTAGGAGGTAGGTACAGTAATGGTTTCAATTTAGGATAATGTCTATATCTTTGCATGAATATATACCTTACAAAATAAAAGTTAAAATCCAGAAAAATTCTTTACTAAACTAAAATAGTTTCCCTAATTTTGCATTGCGGTATGCATGAAAAAATTGGAACAGGACGCTAAATAACATTATGTGTTTGAAGTGCTTTTCTGGATTTACCTTCATCAAGCACGCTCAGGGCCGAATATTTGAGATATTCCCAATTTTCAGTCTAATTCAAAAATTATTATTTCATCTTTTACAAGTTAATCATGTATATTGGATAGAACTTTTGAAAAATTAAAGATAAACTTATATTTTAGGATTACCAGTGTTTGTTGATAGAAATGAAAATGTACAATATGGGTTATACCAAAAGACTGCAACCCTAACCTTGTTCATTACAAGCATTCCAAAATATGACAGATTATGTTGTTCTACAAATCAATGGAAACTCTGCAAAAAGAATCACCTTCACCTTTTTCAAGAGAAAAGTGCAATTTTTCGAGATAAAGTTTATGGAGCTAATGCACTGGTTGGTGGATACAAAATTCTGTTTGTGACCCCTCCCATAGAAAGTGCAGATTTTACGGATTATACATTTAAAGCTGCAAACTCTTTCGGAGAGGCTCATTTTACTATAACCTTAAGAGATAAAGGTAAATGTATAGACTTTATATGTTATTATATTTAATTTATATTGACGATATAGAGAAAACTATCTATTTTTGAATGAATGGAAACCTGTCGACAAATGTACTGTTTAGAACATACAAAAAAAGTGAAGGTATTTTCCCTCTGAATAGTAAAATTAAACTTTGTATAGAACACTACATGTACGAACAATACAATTGGACATTCTGTGAATTGATATAGCAGAAAATATACTTTGCTTCAATTTTACGCTGCATCAAATAAAAGTGACTACGTTCCCTCAAATAATAATGGCTCATAATCACAAAAATATGTATTCTTTTGTTTTAATATATATTTTTTTTGTATTTAGGTAATTCGTCCAACAAAACTAAATCAAGAGCGTCATCTGGTATGTATATATATTACCTCTGTTTCCGTTTGCGTTTAAGAAAATATCATTTTAATATTTCATTTTCCAAACTTCAATTAAAACTTAAGATATCTTTAGCATTACATAAAAACTTTTCATTTGACACATTCCGCTACTTAATAGAAGTTTAGGCCTGCGAAATAGTATATATATATAAAAAGTAGTCTTTATTTGGCCTCTACGGCCATTGTCGAACAAGTTCAATTTGGTAAGCAAACTGATGTTTTTAACGAAACAAATGTATGTAGGAAAATATTACTCGAACAAACCGGCCTGGAATAAAACAAACAATACTTAAACAATATTTTCCCACTTTTTTTGTTTTATCACATATTATCACAGGATAAGTGTCGCAAATTAAAAAAACTTTTCAATCAAAATGTTTATATCATAATTTGAATTAATAAATCCTCGAAATCGCAATAACTAATCTTTTATAATATTGCATGGTTCATGTGGTTCAACCATTGTAAAACAATTAATATAAATAATTTTTGAAATTACAAAAATTGAGGCAACATCTTGAATGATGCAAAAATCCATGGTAGGTAATGTTCGATGTACATTCAAACGTTTGGTGTCAAATATGTGTATAAGAGCTGCAAAAGATTCCAAAAAGACATTCAAAATTCAAAAATAACAAACGCTTCCATAGCAAAAAAAGGCCAAACACAAGCAACAGCACACACATCACAAAATAGAAAACTAAGTAACGGGAATTCCAACAAAACACGGATTGATCTTAGGTGCTCTGGAAGTGCACGCAGATGCTGTTTCTTATGGGGTACCAAATTCAAATTCGGAGAAAAACAATGAAGAAACAAAGACGGAATTGTGTTATCAGCGATTGGGTCATCATCTGCGTAACAGATATTCCTTAACGATCATGATGACGTCCATAAAATTATCGAAGGTGGAATTCAATATTGCCACTTGGAAACACTGGGATTGATAGTTTCCTCAAAAGCCATCCCTGGGGTATTGTGACAACTAGGAGATATATACTCCATATCAAGGCGCTGCTAGAATTTTGCTACACAGAAATGGCAAATTCACAATTAAGAAGCTGAAATCATCTCTTTTGTGTAAAAGCTTGTTCTCAAGCGATGTTCACTGTCAATTTCTAGATGTAAGTCAAGATATGATGCATACTTAACTGTATTTATTGTATCCTTTATTTCAAATCCAATGTCACAGTTCCGTTCAACATAGTCCTTCAACTATTTAGTGAGACGAAATCATCTATATAGCGGAAAACAAAATTAAAGAATAATGCTAGCTTCGTTCATGATTCCCAAGAAGCTTCAATATGAAGTCAGTCTCATATGAATTAAGGAACAAATTCGCAAGAATATCAGCACAATTGGTTCCCATTGGAATACCGATTGTTTGTTGAAAAACAAAACGTTTTGTGTTTTGTTTAATCTAACCGATAATTCAAGATGAACATTATTCAGTTCTATGAACGTTTGGAATGATCATGTTTTTAATATTGTAATCTTGATTCTGTTTTATTGATTAAGATTGATAAACTATAAAGAAAGAATTGTTGTAAGTAGTTGAATTAGAAGAACAAGAAAGTTGACGATGATTTGTAGTCAGTACTTCGGTACTGATATGATAAATAGCAAGCCTTTCTAAATTTGCCCGTTTATAGATTTTGAAATTATAAAGAAACAAAGGTTTCAATTCCCTCAGATGAAGTTGGACTTACAAAGATTTGGCTTTAATTTTATAGTCAATTTTTATTATATAGCTCTTCAACCGTTTCGGTTTTACACACTTTTGGCTTTCACATATTCGACTTTGAGCGTTCCGGATGAAGGTAAATCCAGAACAGCGCTTCGGACGCATTAAATCTATAACGTTTTGTTTTCATATTTGAAAGTACTAGGTCCATACCTCTGCAGGTGGAATATTAGTCCCCGAGTTATATCATCAGCTTAGTAGTCAGTACTTTGGTACTGACATGATTAATACATCTAACAAACCTTTCTAAATTTGCCACGCACGTTAATAAACTTTAAAATTATGAAGAAACTAAGGAATCAACTCCCGCTGCTTAAGGTAGCCAAAGAAGAATTTGGCTATAATTTTAGGTCATTTTTTATTATATAGGTTTTCAACTGTTTAAGATTATACATTCTTGGCTTTCAAATATTCGACTTTGCGACTAACGAGTTGTTTTCAATTTTCAAGAGTGACGGATATTTTTTTAACAATTTTTGGAAGATGTATATTTACTGTTTTAAATGTTCAGATAAAAATGAGACTTTAATGTATAACTTTTTTTTTACCATTTCAAATATCGAACGAGATGCTCTAGGTCATTTTGTATATTTAATATCGAATAATGAATAATTGACCGGTACTTCAAAATACATCACGTTATATTTCATTTTAGGAAAATCCTACCTGCCGTATGCCTTCTTAATTGGGGGATTTGTTATAGTTTTATCCATAACTCATCTCTGCAGTTGGTACTTCCGAACACATTATCAAAAGACTGTAGTAACGGAAGGAATACCGAATGAGTCATCTGCCAATTACATTACGCAATCTGGCGAACACTACGAAGAGATTAATTTGAGCCAGGAAATAGAAACTCCGCTTGAAAAAGACAATCAAATAAATTTCAGTTGTATAGCTGAATTAACTGCACCGGTAAATGATGATACAACAGTAGAAATTTGCAGTGAAGACTTTCAGTGCCAACAATTTGACACTGTTGTATCTAGAAATCAATATGAAAAACTGAATGAGGTACAAAAAGAAAACCCTGAGCATGCCTATCGCGGAACAAGATCAAGTGAAACCTTTTTGAAAATCTTTTGAATCAATTAACATAACTTTCATCACCAATCAAAGCTTTATAGTAACTTGAAACAACACAATCTAGGGGTTGTGTAAATCAGATTTGCATGATTTGGTTACTAAAACAAGTCTTAAAATCTCCCTAGTGTACATAAAATCAAAGTGTATTTCCTCTTATAATGGTATACAAACGTATGACTTCTCTTCCCTTTACACAAGTATGACAGTTCTATACTTAAAGAAAAATGGAAAGAATTAGACCAATTTTGTTCAATAAAAAGATGTGGTCAATGTTAGGCTTAATCGGCAAAATTACATATCAGACTGGTGTAGAAAACGTATTACAAACGGAATATGATCCTTATTGTTGTACAGTGAATAAACTCATCATAGATACCAGGATTAAAATTTTGTATTTGCGCCAGACGCGCGTTTCGTCTACAAAAGACTCACCAGTGACGCTCGAATCAAAAAAAGTTAAAAAGGCCTAATACAGTTCGAAGTTGAAGAGCATTGAGGACCCAAAATCCCAAAAAGTTTGCCAAATACAGCTAAGGTAATCTATTCCTGAGGTAGAAAACCCTTTGTATTTGATGTTGTTTACTGATCGTTGATTTAGATACAACCCATGAACACTTATCAGTCCTTTGTATACATTTATTGTCAAAGTTAATCAACTTTATAGTATTATATAAGACGTGTATATGTGTCTCGGTATTTGTTTATCCAGCGTTCATGTATTTAGTTAGGAAGTTTTATTTGTAATTCTGATCGGATATTGTTTTGTGTCTTATCTTTTGTAGTAATGATTCTGTTTTTTCTTTTCTATTCGTATGTAAAAGTAAAGATAATTAATGACTTAGTTCATTTGTATGATTTTAGTTTAAAGTAACTATGTACACAGGATTATTTGTTTTACACAGTTTGATTTGGAAGAAAGGCCGACATAGTTAGATAGTGCAGTTAGTTGCACAGTTCTATATTAACATTCTTGTAATTGTTATAAAATACATCAAATAACATAATTAGAAACCTAATTTTGATTTATATCCAATTTATAAAAATTTACCTGTGACGTTGCTTTTTGTGGCGTTGATACATTCGTGTGACAGACATAGTTCTTATTTCTATTATGCTGTTTTTGTGTACTGTCCTTAATTCATTTTAGCAATTCGCTGTAATTCTGTGGTGAATATGTCGAAATGTTTTATTACATTATTTACTTTTGTATTTCTCTGTTTTGAGCGTTCTTGCATTTATTTGTACTGTATTCCCGTCATGTAATGTCATCATTTTAGCGATATTTGTAACATTGCCATAAAGCGTGAGGTTTGGCTAGCAAAAAACCCAGGTTCAACCCACCATTTTTTTCTTAAAATGTCCTGTTTAAGTCAGGATTATGGCAGTTGTTATTTAATTGTTCGTTTCTATGTATGTTGCATTGTAGTTTGCTTTTTGTTGCACTTCAGTGTTCTGCTGTTTCGTTGTTTTCCTCTTATATTTGATGTGTTTCCCTCGGATTATGTTTGTAACCCGGATTTGTTTTCTCTCAATTGGTTTATGACTTTTGAACAGCGGTATACTACTGTTGCCTTTATTTGTAATATTAGATTTTTTAATACTAGCATTGTTTCCATCGGCACAATCATCGATTATTTTCAATAAACACGAGTAAATGTTTATCGCTATACAGTTAAAGAAGCTTAATGCTGTACTTCCTGAATATACTTATATTTTGGTATTGAAAAAAGTTCTTGACACTAAATCTACTGTTAAACTTTTGTCTAGTATTTTTTATTGTTTTTTTTTTGTGATAGGCTTTCAGTAAATGGTAGAACTCTTAGATCGATTCTTTGTCTTTCAAGTGTATTTGTTTGTTTTGCACTACATCAACCTAATGTGCCAAACCCTTTTGAACTGGTTTTGTAGCATGTTCTATTGTTGTGCTGTCTCACCACCGTCCCGGGCAATATGTTTAAGCTTGCCACATTTGGTATATGCATGTCCATTCCCAACAATTATATGACTGACTTGTGAGTCAGTGGTGGTCGTCATTTGATGATTATCATATTAGTTTTTCGTCTTTTTATGTTGTTGTATAAAAATTCTTTTGAACTCGTTTAAAAAGTTTAACATCTTTACAATTTCTGGTCTATTTGTAGCTTCCTATACGACTTTAGTTTTGTTGATTGTTAAAGACTGTACGGTAACGCATAGTAACTTGCATCCACTCATATCGACTATAGTAGATGACTCTTTGGCAATCATGCCACATCTCCTAATTGTAAATTGTGGATTTGACAATAGGTGGTTAAAAAGTTGAAACATACGCATTCGTACAAATGTATAAGCCTGGTAATGTTGAGTTTTTTTTATTTATTGCACATTGGATTTAAATAATAAATTATTAATACATAACAATACTACTAGCATGCTTTTAAATGATTGAAAATATGTGTAGTAGCCATTTCACGGTCATATAGCTCGTCTTTGTTTTACTCTTGAAAATTATTGCCGATACTTGTTGAATAGATACAAACATGCGATTAGATTACAAAAGCATCAATAACAGAAATATAAACATCCGAACTACTTTGATAAACCTACTGTATCTTGATTTTATTTATCTGTAGTGATAATCTTTCTATCTTTTGATCGGCAGATTAATTTAGAATACCACTAGAGTAATCAAAACATCTATATAAATAACACACAGATGAGTAATGAAAGAGTAGATATTTATCCAAATTAAACATTGTCAACTGAGGCGAAGCCGAGGTTGACAATGTTCTTTCAAGGGGTCACAATCTGCTCTAATACCCTCTCAGCTATGTGTTATTCAATTTATTATACTGAATGTTCTATTATTAATGTCTTAGATTTTAAATTGAAAGTATTTAACTATGATACCATGTACATATGTTTTGTATACACAAGTACCCAGTTTAAGTACTGATGATTCATGAATACCCTGATGATATAAACAATAAAATTCTTAAGAGTAAACGTTTGGCTATTGTATTGAACTTTTATTAACCTCAAACCATTTATTAAGTACTTTAAGCCCAGAAATATGTAAAAGACAATTCCATGCATCAACAATCAAATTATTTCAAAAACGATTCGAAAATAATTTCACAAGATAAAATAAAGAATTCATCCACGTTAAATATAATTTACAATTGTAACTGGATTTTTTATTTCATACAGGGACTATAGTTTATACTATTGTAAATTTCTATATTTACTTATCATATCTCCACATAGTTTTTTTTCAAAAACATACTTAAACACTCTCAATCGTCATTTTGTAGCACAAAAACAATACACTTTTACATAAGTTAACATGACAAAATATATAAGAATCATAACAATATGCAATCTACCTTGAAATCAACATTATCCTGTACATTGTACATAAAAAGTAAAAAGAAAGGTTATAATTGATACGTTAGGCGAGTTGCGATGTCTTTCGTCTTACAGATATTTGCTTAAATTAGAACTGTAATGTTTAAGTAAAGCATTAAATTACAAATGTAATATTAAGAGTTGTGCAAAACATATCTTTTTGTTCTACCATAAGACAAATCTAACTCTAACTCCACGACTGAAAGTATTACTGATTTTCAACAATAAATACATGTATGAATTGGTTATTCATAACGAGCTAATAGCGATTAGATTTCACTTGAAGAATTTCATTTTGTTATTTATCCTTGCATTCATTATGTTACCCCTTCTTTATCATTTTGTAATGCCATTTCTTCGTTTGCCTTCTGGTATTGTTGAAGAGAATGTTCTGATCCTTGCAACTTCTTTTTCAGGTAAAACTTATATCTGTAAAATAAACAAATTAATGTAAACGGTGTACCTTGTTTTATACCGAATACATATACAATTTCTAGCTGATTACGCGGTATCGTTTTTGCTCATTGTTGCAGACCGAATGGTGACATATTGTTATTAACTGCTATGTAATTTAGTCTCTTTATATTTGTGTGTAGTATGGATGATTTTATTTCACTATGGGTTTGAAAAATATAATTTTTCTCATATTCCATCATCAAAACCATATTAGAGTCGTCCGGACTTTCGCCATTAGTTAGTACTTATTTAAATATTGTAACTTTAATATATATATTTAATTCATTTTCAAGGACGGCGATAACTTTGTTGGTGATGTTTTATTACAATAAATCATTTTATTAAGGCATCTATAGCTAGAATCGGGATGAATGTGTATATAAAGTAATGTTTAATTTCTACCCGGCAGTTGCTCATATATACGATACAAATGAATGTGACTCATATTTGAAAATGATTTAATTTCATCATGCATATATATTTTGTGATCTTGTTATTATTAATACTTTAAAAAAGAGATGAAAAAGATACCAAAGAGACATTTAAACTCACTAGGCGAAAAAGAAACTAAACACTAAACAAAACGATAACAGATCCATGTTATTTTTTTACGTACGCATCAATGTACCATTGAATTGTCGGACCTAGACAAGAAAGGAACACATTATAGTTTATATAACGAAAACAAAGTGAACTGAACCAGCTTGCACTTACTGGAGGCTTGTAATATCAACTTATTTGGAAAGTTTAATTGTGGAATAACATGGTTTGTATTTATTTGAAATTGTGTTTTGAACTAGCCTTTAGTTATCTGAGTTTTCTTAGATCGATACTTTGTCTTAATTACTGTTCTGATGGGTTAAACCCTTTAGGCTGTGTTGACACAGCCGTAACGAGGGCGTAGAGTGGGGGTGATTGCGCATTCACAGACGGGTTTTATTCAGTCACAATCGTCACTTACCTTTCGGGGTTTCACGTTTGATTTATTAAACTTTTTGTCATTAATTGGCCTTTTATTACTATCTTTACATTATTGGTATTCTATACGGTTTCTTATAATTGTATATATCTATATATAAATCTGGAAACGCGGCATAACTGCTAATCAGACAACTGTCATCCAGATTCCACATGAAGTGGACATTAAAAATATTGGACGCGGCATTCAGAAATTAATCTATACCGTATAGTCGGCTGTTTACGACCTCGATTAGAAAATGGGACCATCGAGAAACCAAATGATACATAACAAAACAATAACCAGCACAAAATATTACAGGCAGCAAACAAAAAACCTGAAAGTGTATTCAATATATAAATCTTCGTGTATTCTTTAATTATTAAATAAATACGAATACGTTATTCAAAGAAAGTACTTACACCCATGCTTTTAATTTCTTTTTGTCTTTCATAGAGAAAACATATATTAAACACAGCATCGGAATCGACATCAAAACGCAAACTGAGGTAATTCCAGCAATCCGTTTTATATCGAGGTTGGTTCTACCTAAAATATATCAATAAAGAAGTTATTCGGTGTCGCCAAACAATTGAAATATACAAAAATGTCTTTAAGTAACGCTTTACGAGTTCCAAATGGTGAAGTTGAAATCATCCCTTCGTTAATTTTACGGACACTATCACGAGTTGGTTTGATATGGAATATCTGTTTCACAGATGATAACGGACATGTTCCTTATGTCGAAACTACAATCCCGTTCCCTTTTCACGAATGTGACCTACCGAACTAGAATATTTACCGGGTATGTAATAACATGAGCAGCACGACGGGTGCCACATGTTGAGCAGGATCTGTTTACCCTTCCGTAGCACCTGATATCACCCCAGTTTTTGGTTGGGTTCGTGTAGCTTCGTCTTTAGTTTTCTATGTTGTGTTTTATGTACTATTATTTGTCTGTTTGTCTTTTTTATTTTAGCCATTGCTTGTCAGTTTATTTTCGATCTATGAGTTTGAAAGGCCCTCTGGTATTTTTCGGCCCTCTTTTTAAAAGTAAAATTACAGAAATACTGTACTCCGAGAAATATTCTAAAAGGAAAGTCCCTAATCAAACGGCAAAATCGAAAGCTCTATGAATAACAAATGTCCTATTCCTACATTGTTACAGGCATTTTCTTATATAGAAAATATTGGATTAAACATGGTTTTAAAGCTAACTAAACCTCTCACTTGTATGACAGTCGCATCAAATCCAAGATATTGACAACGATGTGTGAACAAAACGAACAAACATAATAGGTAAAAATGTAAAAAATAGAGGTACAGCAGTCAACATTGTGTTATAATCTTAATCACTATAAAAACAAACTAATATGTAACAAAGAAGCACAGAAAGGCATATAGACAAAGCATATTAGCATAAATTAAAGACAGGAATACACATTAAAAGATACATATTTTCTTATTAATAAATATTTCCATCCAGTACTTCTTTAATTTAATTTCATACTTGTAGTTTAAGTTTAAAGAATATCATTTAACACTAAGAAATTAACCAATGCTTACTAATGACATAATTAAAACATATTCCTATATCTGTTTCTCATTTAACACTTGCCGGGTTCAAGACCATATACCACGTGTCTGTTTGTCACAGTGTGTGTTATTTAAATATACATAAATAACATAATGACAGAAACCTACCGTTTGAAACGCAGAATAACGTTTCATTAACAACAACAAATCTTTTACTTCCAATTTCACAAACAACAATCAATTTTCCCGTTTCAACATCGCCTCTATGTGTATAGATCAGCATTATTTCACTAGTAAAGAATAATCCCTGCTGCTCTGTTTTAACATGCAGGGAGGATAAAGTTATGTCCATTAACTGAAAGAAAGTTTTTAATTTTTACTGTTTTACTCTATCTATCTGTCTATCGACGAATCTATCTATCGATCAATCTATCTATCTATTTATCGATCTGTCTATCTATCTATATAGCTATTTATCTCTATCTATTTATTTATTTATCTATCTATCATATATATATTTATCTATCAATAGCTTAAGACACGCATAAAAATTGTACTTTGCAAATGAATTTTCGTACGTGTTTGTTGATAGCATCCTAATAATGTGCTACAAAACATAAGGGACCACTTGCGATAAAAACCTTTTAAATTAAGATTTTCTCCATTTGCATGGTTTGTTTTCTAAGGTAATTCTTAATTATATTCACTAAGGATAGTTGAAGTTTTAATCCTGAAATGATATTTTTAATGTATATCATTGTTAAAAAAAATATTTCATTTACTCACATTAAATGTAGATTTACAATCTGGTTGAGGAAAAACGTTTTCTAAGGTAACATTTCCTCTGCAAGTACATTTTTTGTCATTCTCAACTGTTGCATTCAGAAGTCTTATAGGATGATCTGGATAATGAACGCAAATGATTACATATTTGTTTTCTTTTTATATTATTAAAAATAACAATAGTAATATATTGCAGCCACAATAAGTATCAAAATGTTCACCCCCCTCCCAAAAAAAAATAAACAATACCCGTCACTATGCAAAACTCTGCGTTGTAGACTTTTAATAGCGAAACGTCCTACATGAGGTATCAGATACATACCGTCATCAGAAATATTTACTTTTTGTGGGGTTTTTTTCATACTAAAGTCATATGAAACTTAAACAATAAGAAACAATTGAGTATGTCTTATATACTTGAAAGGCTTTACAACTAGTGTACGTGAACGTTCTTGTCAAAGAAAATCCTTTCTCAGGATTACATTACAAAAATCCTAATTAATGGCCTGCTATTGATTTTTTGTCTTCAAGTTCTCTAATTCGCCGACATTTCTCCATAACTATAAAACCTCTAGTTAGAATGTCGGTCATTACACAGCGTAGGTGTAAGCACGAAACCGTTACGAAAGACTGCACTTAAACATGCACTGAAAGGTAAATAGTAATAACTCTTTAAGAACAAATTAAATGTACCAACTTATTTAAACAACTGATATGGAAAACAAATGTAATGTATTACGAAAAACTCGTTTGTTATGAATTTAAAGTCACAATAATTAATGCTGAAACTAGAAAAGTATTGTGTACGGGGAAATAGCAGGGGAAAGGGAAGTTAAACATTTATTTTCATAAAAGTGTAAAACATCAAAGAATTAAAATAATATATAAAAATCAACGAATACATAAATGTGAACTCAGTCATAAAATGTATGTGATTTTGGTGAATTTGGTATACTCACTCTCAAATTTGATTTTAGACAGGTTGAGAAACTTTCTGTCGATCGAAAACCCATATGCACATTCGTAAATTGTATTTACGTCATATAGACTAAAATTGTGTATTCGTAACGTTGACACACCATTTTTCTCATCCATATGCTCACTATATTTATTTGGATATCTTGATACACCGTTCAATGTTATTCCATGAATTTTTCTTCCAATCGACCATCTTCTGTTCATATTTGCCCTACTTGCATAGTTAGGAATGAAACATGCTAATTGAACATCTTCTCCAAAAACAGCTGGTACTGTTTCCAATTTCCATGATAGTATTCCATCTAAATATATGCATTTGGTTAATGATATTGACATTTTAGACGAAGGAAGTTATCGTGAATGTAATCAGAATTTAACACTTACTCAGCTGTTTTTTTATAACAAATACCATGCAACCGAACTGTATCATTTCTAACCCGGTTAGGGGCCTCGGTGGCCGAGTGGTCTAAGTAGTTACTACTGTAATCACTAGCCAGTCAACACAGAGGTTGTGAGTTCTAACTCCGCTTGTGCGGGTGCACTCGACTCCAATCTTAATTCACTAGGTTTGTCAGTTTTCCTATCGAAGGTCGGTGGTTTTCTCCGGGAACTCCGGCTTCCTCTACCAATAAAAACTGGCCGCCACAAAATAGCCCAAAAGCGGTGCTTAAAAGTGGTGTTAAAACACCAAAAATCAAATCAATCAATCTAACCCGGTTAATAAGATCATTATACATAATTATGTATTATCGAAAAGCGTTTCATTAATCAATATATGTTCTCTTATTTTAAAACTCAGAAGTTCTGTAATACGTTTAGGACTATATAGACAAGTGTAGTGGTTCAAGTATATATTTTACCTATTATATGTGTAACACAATTTATAAGATCTTTTGTAAACAGTGATTTATAGGTGTCAGACCACCAACTCAAAATCTTTACATATTCAACCAAATTTTGCAAATTTCACAGCTTTTTAGATATTTTACCTTGAGTTCAAGAATAGTTTCATATCTGCAAACTTGTTGGTTAGTTTAAGTAAACAATGATATAAAAAGGACTACTTTTTAGGGAAGGTTTAATTCTATATACGTTGTAAAATAGACTCGATGAATTAGTGGTCTGATACCTATATGAAGCTATACCATATTTAAGTATGAGTAAGCATATAGGGATTTAAGATAAACCAGTTACCGTTGTATTTACGTTAACGATGACCAATATTGTATCAATGGCATCAAGAATACCCGGTATAATTCATTCATAATAACTTTTTCAATAAAGACATCAATAAACTTTTTGTCATAATTAAAATTAATAAAGCTATTAATAGTGGGCGATATAGTCTCATCTATACAGCTTTAGTATAAAGAATTTTCCGACTATTTAATGAATTTTTATTATGAAGTTTCTTACGAGCTTTATAATTAAACTGTGTGATCAAGTTTATTTAATTTATTCCTTGTTAAACAGAATGCGTAATCAAACCTTCCCTATAAACAAATTCTCTCCTTGTTAGTATGCATACATTTGAAGATACTTATTTTTATGAGTCATGAAATATTATATGCTGTTATTTAAATGTGAAAAAAACCATACCGTATAATAAGCTATAAATGGCCCCGACATGAAAATGTGAAACAATTCTAACGAGAAAACTAACGGCATAACTAATAAAATAACAATTTACGAATAACAAATATGAAAGACATGAATAAACAAACAATACCCTATTTAAACAATTCACAAGATAACTGTCATTTGCTTACCTGATTTGCTTATCACTGGATAATACACCAAGGCATACAATAATAATAGCATACTGATTGTCATTTTGCGTAAATTATCTGCATAAACAGAAAACAATAAATCATTATTCTTATCTAACTCATTTAACTGTTTATAATGGAGGGATACACGAATATTCAAAGGCGTACAAAATATAGAATGAACACATTATTGAATTCAATTGATTGTATCCTTAAGGTTTCAAAAATTGATGCATCAAAAACATCTATACACCAAGATATGGTATGATTTCAAATGAGATAACTTTCAACCGGAGACACTTGTTGCAGTTGTGAAATCTATATATAATAAACTGTTACAATAATTCGAAACACCAAGGTGTTTTTTTATATAATGCTTAAAATTGAATGGCTTAGTCAGATTTGGCACATCTTCTTAAAGGATAGGGTTTATAATACTTTGTTTAACATTGATCGCTGATAATGAGTGTTGATGAGACAAAATGTGCATCGGTTATAACAAATGCCAGGTATTGCATAATTGATGAGTTTGTGCAACGATTGAGTCATTGTAATTGCTGTCAGAAGTTTTCTCAATGAAGGGATTGCCGTCGCAGGAATCAGTGGTCTTAACGTGAAAAATGAAGATTCCTTATTTTGTTAATAGCTGTGTATCGTGCAAATATGTTGTATTTTGATAACAAGCACACTACATTCATTCATAATTGACAAGAAATTTAGATAATTTGGATATATATGATCAAAGTTTATTATGACGTTGATTCTATTTTTGATGTTTTGTTATTAAACATTGGCGATTCTCAATATGTTTTAACGGTTCGAATAACAACAGAATACTCAATATTACCAACATTTGGGTACCAACAAGAAAAACAACAAAATGGCGAACTCCGAGGAAAATTCAAAACAGAGACTTCCCTTATCAAATGGAAAAATAAAAAGCTCAAGCACATCAAACGAATGGTTAACAACTGTCATATTCCTTACTTTTAAAAGCATGTACAATGATTGTAGAAAAACAAGAAATAAATGTTATTATGCACCAAGTTTTCAATGGAACGACTATAAAAACAACTTTTGTTACAGTCTCATAAAGATAAATGTTAACTTCAGTGATTATTGTCTTTTTCTGACACCATTGACACAGTTTATTAACTCAATTTATAGACACAAATTATATATCAAGAAGAAATATAAATCACTGAGTAGAATTTGAATAATTCTGACGGATAAACATACAACAAAAACAAGAAGAGTAACTACTACGCTTATACACATATTCTACAAAAAAATATATTTAATCAAGGTATAAGATATAAACAATCTACAACAATAAATTGTCTGCTGTTTACAAAAATATTGAACTTTGAGCTAACTTTTTGTGAAAACTTTCAATTTGACTTTGAACATAGTGAAGTTTCAGTTACACACGTAAGCATTTAATGATCGAAGACGGGCTCTTCTAAATTCTTATTTTAATCATTCATAATTTACGTCAAAAACATGGGTATGATAAAAATTGTCCCTTTAAATTACATATATGATGAATCATTGCGTATCACATGACCTTAGTAAATGTCATGTCTATCCAATGTTAGTTAACAATGACAAGTATTTTCATTTTTCGAAAATAAACATGAGATTATTTAACATTAATATGCAACTGCAAATTCTAGTATATTTTCAAAATATTTTAGGACAAAAACCAAACCAAGCATACATATGATAATGTATACTTATTGACTGGGTATGAGTGAAATAGTAAGTTTATTGTCCCCCGAGGTGCAACTGTTGTATCCGAGGGGACAATAAAATTACTTTTTCACGAATTATTATATCGAAAAAGACAACAGATAATAAATGGCGTAGATAAATCAACTATCGTAATATAAAAAACAGAAACCCAACCATAACGTTTACTTCATAAGTATTCTGCAATGATAAGGCTACGTCTTGCACTGACGTCAACCCTAGATACAATAGGTAAAATGCGACGTCTTTTCTCTCGCGGTATTTTCAAAATCACCAATCCCGTAGCTGCATTAGAAATTGCGCGAAATATAATGACGCTTGCGGTCAAATAGTTTCATCGAGGTCCCATAGTTGGAAACTATTGACTGGTCCAATAGTTCAACGCATGCATTTTGAAAAAAATAGTCAAAATATTGTGTACTTATTTTATATAGAAAATGATAAGTTAGGTATAATAAATTCATCTATTGATTTTTTGAACTCGGCGGCTGTAGCAAATAAAAATAAGAAGACGCGGGTAGATGGAAACAACTTTTTATTCAAGCATTATTAAGATATATTCATATTACAGTTATGCTTATTCTGCTTAACCCAATATTTTCCACACTTGCTAGAAAAATATGATACTATGGGATTTTTCTTTTACTTGTAAATTATTACCGTACATGCGGTAGGCACTCATAACAACGACAAAAGTCGACAAAATTCAGTAATTTATACAGTTTGGTACACCTTTTTCAGAAGAACGTTTTCCTTTTTTGATTGTGTACAAAGCCGAAACTTGTTACTGCTCCGATTTGTTTTGGTAAACCAATGTTTTGAGTAAACTGGAATCACGTTTGATTCTTTTTTTTACGTTGTACTATGGTACTATATGAAGTTATTCTCTAAGCATCATTATAAGTGATTCGAGATCTATTACGTAAATACGAAAAGCTAGAAAGTAAAGCGTAGAAGTAAATACGAAAAGCTAGAAAGTAAAGCGTAGAAGTAAATACGAAAAGCTAGAAAGTAAAGCGTAGCAGGTAAATTGTTTACCGATTGGATATTAAAAAAATTTTGTAAATAAATTACATACACGGCTCACTAAATATATACATTCATTTGTCATTGATCACAAGGATTTTGAAAAATTTACCTGATACAAACACTCAAAAAATGTTAGTGAACAATATTGATTATTATTTTGTTTTAACTGTTTGAAAATTTAACTGAACGTTTGTTGTTAAAATTCCTAATATTAATCAAGGATAGACGAACTACAAAAACTATAAGAGCAATAACTAGGCTTAGACAAATATGCTACAAAAGCTTTTGAACTTGAGTATGAAATATAAACAACATATTTCTTTCGAAAAAATTGTATTTTGTTTACCATGTTTACTAAATTTGTGAACTTTGAGCTTAACATTTGTGAAAATTTTCAATTGGACTTTGATCATAGTGAATTTTAGTAACACGCATGATCACTTAATGATCGAAGACGAGGTCTTCTGTATTATTGTTTCATTCATTCATAGCTTTCGTCAAAAACTTGGATATAATCCAAATTTGTCCCTATAAACTTGAATGAATAATCACGTGACCGTTTGTTTATTCTATTTTTAAATCAATGTTTGTAAACAATGTTGAACATGTCGAATTGATTCTTTTTAAATTACATATCGTTTTAATATTAAAGTAGAAACATTTTTAAAGCCAATTGAATATATGTTAGTAAACATTTGCGATTCGTTAAAGCTGTGAAAACAGTATATGTAATTTCTACATGCACTTGGGTACAACAAAATTAGAAGTAGTATTTCAATCATTTCAGAAAAAAATCAAAATAATCAAATGCATCAAAGGAACTACCTTAAGAAAGACATTTTTGCGGCTATTTGAGGGGTATTAAATGTACATATATCAATCTGGAGACAAAATATTAAACATTATAGAGGAAATATAAGTTGACGAAAGAATAGTTATCAAGAAAAGATAATATCCAAACACTATGAGAGTAAGTACTACGCTTAGACATATACTTAAAACATATCAAATTAAGGTATAAAATATAAAAAAACCTACCACTTTCATCTAAAGTGTTGTTTACTAACAAATACATAAAATTGGACTTTGAGCTTAAAATTTGTGAAAATTTTCAGTAACATTGACAATCTTATGTTTACACTCGTGATCACTTCATGACCAAAGACGTTTTCTTTGTGTATTGTTTATTTATTAAAACATCAAGCATATTCATTGTGAAGGTCATATCTATTTGTATCTATAAATAGAGCTCAATAATGTTTTTGTTTCTTCCTGGTAGACAAATTCTAAAAATATATTGATTTTCTCCACTTGGTCTAAACATATTCAAATAAAGGGAAAACGGCACTATTTATTCTGCCATAGGCGACAATACTAACATTTTCTAAATTTACCACTTTTTATAATAAAAACCCGGATAAAACAGTTATTTGTGGTGTTAGTACTTTATTATTCTGTTTTAAAAATTGAAGCCAAATAGTATCATGACCAACTTCCAACGGAGCTTGTTAGTGTTATCCATGCCCACCGTCATTTTCACCAAATTTATGAAATATTTGAAGTCTTTTCGAATAATTCTCTAGAAAATATTTCAATAGGTTTCAAAATTTATATTGTAAATATACACACTGCAGTAATTCATAGATAAATAAAAAATATATTGTACCCTAACATCCAATCACAGCGCTCCTAAGTTGACTTCCTTCACCTGCCTTGGGTACACAAAAGGCCAACCTAATGCTGGGAAAATGTAATAGTACCGTTTTCCCTATACTGTGACATAAAGATATAAAGAATTCTTATGACACCACTAATGCAATACTGAGTTATTGTGAAAACCTTAACTATAATAAATACTTGTATGTTCCCATTACTTAAAGAAGCATGGATCATTTAATGTCCCCACCCCTACATGCTGGTTTACCTCTTTTTCTACTTCTTTCAGATAAGGCTTAATAAACAACCTGTATCCAATCATATCCTATCTCATTTAAAAAGAATAATAAACAGTTCCATTTAAACAGATAAAAATAACAGTTCCATTCAATTTGTATTCATTTCATCCAAAATTTACAACATAAGCACAAACTCAAGATTTTTCATACTAATCTCCATTCCGTGCTTTAGTATATGCCATATTGTGGTTCAAAATTTCAGAGCTTGTTATAAAATCCATTATTCTGTCTTGAGATGATGAAAACAAAGATATTAGACACTTTAAACATTAGATATGCAAAATACTCAGCTGTAAATTTGCCTTTGTTGTCTGTATTAATCTGTGAAAAAGCTGAAAGATGTCCCTTGGGAGTATTAATTTCCAACAAAAGTCCTTTCAAACAGTAGAAAATGAAAAATTATACATGCCTGATATAATAAAAGATAGAAACTACAACATGAAGCACTATAGAAATATTTGTTGCATGAATTGCCAAGAATATGACCAATTCTTTACACAGGAGAGTATAAATTCTATCTAAATTTAGCCTCAAGTGGGCCTCTTTTTTTCTTAGATGGACAATTTTAACACTGAAAATGCGTCTAGTATGACCAAATATTGCCTTACTCCATAAACAGTACAAACTTAACCTGACAATTTCCCATTTTAATAGATTATGTCTACATAAATACCCAAGTGATACATTTAGGGAATTACACAGCAAAAAAGGCAAATATTTCAGTTAAAAATATTTGTCGCGACTTGAGTTCTGGTGTTTCCAATTGAATTAATCATTGCGAAAGGTGAAACCAAATACAAAAGAACTATAGTTTGGTGCATTTTATACAATATAGTTAATATTGAAATCCTAGAATAAAGTTTTATATCAGTACCCATCAATTTGACTTATTATGATGACTCAGCACTTTTCTCAACACAGTATTGTTCTCAGTGAAAAAATTCTATTCTTTGTGATAAAAATCAAATGTACTAATCAAAAGCTTCAAAAAAGTATACTTTAACTGAAGTCTGATTGATTTTGATTTCCCTTGCTATCTTCAGTATAGGGAAAACGGTACTATTTATTCTGCCATAGGCGACAGTACTAACATTTTCTAAATTTACCACTTTTTATAATAAAAACCCGGATAAAACAGTTATTTGTGGTGTTAGTACTTTATTATTCTGTTTTAAAAATTGAAGCCAAATAGTATCATGACCAACTTCCAACGGAGCCTGTTAGTGTTATCCATGCCCACCATCATTTTACACCAAATTTATGAAATTTTTGAAGTCTTTTCGAATAATTTTCTAGAAAATATTTCAATAGGTTTCAAAATGTATATTGTAAATATACACACTGCAGTTATTCATAGATAAATACAAAATGTATTGTACACTAACATCCAATCACAGCGCTCCTAAGTTGACTTTCTTCACCTGCCTTGGGTACACAAAAGGCCAACCTAATGCTGGGAAAATGTAATAGTACCGTTTTCCCTATAGGCAACAGTAGTATACAGCTGTTCGAAAGTCATAAATCGATTCAGAAAAAACAAGTCCGGGTAACAAACTTAAACTGAGGGAAACACATCAGATATAAGTGGAAAACAACGAAACAACAGAAATGCTAAAGTGCAACAAAAAACCAAACGACAATGCAACACACACAGAAACGAACTATAAACATATTAAAGAATAAAAACAAATAATTATTTTGTTTTTAAATGACAGGAAAAATTTCAGATTAACAATTTGTAACAAATTCATCATTTTCTCGCATAATCATATTTCTGTTTCATTCATATAGTAAGGATATTTATAAAATGTTATAAATCCTTGTTATTTGTGTTAGTTTTAAAAGAAAAAGGTGTGAATATTAAATGTATTAATAATCTGGAGTGAATCATTTCCCGTCAAGTTTTCAATGGCTTTAATCTCAAGAAACAAGTACATTTTTTTTCTTCTTTTTAAGTTCTGTTATAGGTATACATACTATCAATTCAAAACAGTCGTTTAAAACTAGTTAATATTCCCTAAATTATTTTGTTTAATTAAACGTCTTTACTGAAAACGGTTCTGTTCAAGCTTTGATGAGAAATGTGCCTATAACACATGTTTCAGTTATGCTTATTCTCTTATAGGGAAAACGGTACTATTACATTTTCCCAGCATTAGGTTGGCCTTTTGTGAACCCAAAGCAGATGAGAGAAGTCAACTTAGGAGCGCTGTGATTGGATGTAAGGGTACAACATATTATTTTATTTATCTATGAATAAATGCAGTGTGAATATTTACAATATAAATTTAGAAACCTTTTTTCTAGAGAATTATTCGAAAAGACTTCCAAAACTTCATAAATTTGGTGTAAAATGACAGTGGGCATGGATAACATAAACAAGCTCCGTTGGAAGTTGGTCATGATACTATTTGGCTTCACTTTTTAAAATAGAATAATAAAGTACTAACACCACATATAACAGTTTTATCCAGGTTTTTATTATAAAGTGGTAAATTTAAAAAATGTTAGTATTGTAGCTTATGGCAGAATAAATAGTATCGTTTTTCCTATACACTATACGTTCTATCTAATATTCTTGATTTTTCTGTTATTATCTTCTAGTTTTTTTTTTGTGTCCAAATAAAACAAATCATTGCCAGCAAAAATATCGCTGTTGAAATAACCTCTTACTTGTTGAATATAAATATTTGTTACCATGCAATTAGTCGTTATCAGAATAAGGGAAAAATATAATTTAAGGTCACCGTAGACATCCATTTCAAAACGATAAAAGACCAATATATAGTAAAAAACTCCGGTTTCCATTGATCAGAACAGTTCTCCTCCTAATTTATTTTATGGATACAGTCCTTGGAAGGTGTAAACTTCCAAAATAAAACATGTATGGTGTTAAGGTGTATGTCATATGGTGCAATGGTAAAAGGTGTATGGTGCTATGGTGTATGGTGTAAGGGAAATGGTGTAATGGTGTAACGTGGATCGGGAATGGTGTGAATGAATGGTGTACGACATTCAAAACTATGTAAAATATTGATAAGAACTGATTTTTAATTTTATACATTAATTTACAATATTGTGATCAAAATCGTTTTTTGAAATTAATTAATAATTTTTAGTCGCACGCTTTCTTTGAAATTGAATTGCATTGTTGTGTAATGTGTATGGTGTATGGTGCAAAGGTGTTACGTGTATGGTGTAATGGCGCAGGGTGTATTGTGTAATGGTGTATGGTAAATGGTGAAATGGTGTATGGTGTTAGTGGGACATTTACACCATCCAAGGACTGAAGTCGACACTTGTTACTGTTCTTATGTAAAGGGGTTGATCGGGGCTTTAAGTAACCGTGAATCACTTTATTTTTTCTTGTTATGTGTTAAATTGGTACAATAATAACACAATTAAGCATGGGAACATATTATTATTTGGTTAGCCCATACATTTAACATCATCACAAATAGAAACCAAAATATTTAAACTTTTAAGCATGTTTGGTAAACAATGGTAAATGCATTTTTTTTCATATTAGTAAATTTTGTAATTCAGCAATATAACATATGTGCATATATTTTATATGCAAGATATTACTATTGTCAATACTGATTTACTGACCTTTTCCTCGTGTCCTTTTGCCATGTCAATAGAAAAGCAAATCGTTCTTTAATGTCCCTTTTTTATGCAACAAAACGTTAATCAACACTACTTAACTTATCCGCCGATTACGATGTCCTCATATTTATACTGTGGTACATATAAAACTTATTGTACTGTTCAGAGATTAGGCTGTCATACATTGACTGATTTATGTTTTCTTCTGGCTTGTCACAAGTTTTGATGCTGTTGGTCCTGTGTAAATGACACTAATTCGATTTCTTCAGTAGTATTAATGCATTTACTGTGACCTAGTTTGACAATACTCAAAGCTTACAACAACCATAGGAGTTGAAAGTAAAACAATTTATTTATTTATGACTGCTTAAAACGATTGATTAGTTTATTTATGACTGCTAAAAATGTGAACGGATACTAGTATTCTCTTCTTTGTATCCGACTGTCGTAATGAGTCATGTTTTAACGTGATAAAACAAGATCCGTCCATGAATATAAAAGACATGCAAATGTCTATAAAAAA